TTGGAGACCACCAACTCTGCGGAGATAGATCATTGAGGTTTGTTGTATGGAGCAGAGATATATCCTGGAGGTTTGTTTTATGCTCTAAACTTGACAGTGAGAACACAGGAAATGGTCCACTGAGAAACTGGTGATGAAACAATGCTGAAATTCATCTTTAACCTCAGTTCCAGTCAATTCATGTTGGAAACCACAATATTTTTAAACTGTGCGTTTCTACTTCTCTTACTTCTCATTCCTGTGGCTTGTTTTAGGGTAAATGTTCAGTCAGCTGAACTACTCAAAAGGCCTGGTCACACCTGTGACTTACTTTTGTGCCTCAGTTTCCACAGGTACAAAGAAATGGGGGAAATAGAAATTTTGCTACCTCTTTTCAGTGTTTTGTTTGAAATTTTCTGATAGAAGCTGTACAGATTTAATGCAGTTCTCATCAAAATACCAACATCATTTTTTGCAGATCTAGAAAAAATAATTCAGTTAAATGTTCAGTCAAATGTTGACATTCAGTTAAATGTTTCATTTGGAACCACAGAAGAACCTGAATAACCAAAGCAACTTTAAGCAAAAAGAGCAAATCTGGAGGAATCACTTTACCAGGCTTCATACTATAAGGCTTTAGTAACCAAAACAGCATGAGACTGGCAAAAAAAAAAAATAGAGACATAGACCAATGAAACAAAAAGGGACTAAATATTAACTTTTAATAAGTGTGTGTGTGTGGGGGGGTTGTGAGGTGTTGGGGTGGGAGAAGGGCTCTTGAAAGATTCTCATTAAATCTGCAATCCTTTCTAACAGCCTTTGGTAGATGGGAACTCTTTGAGAAAGATGCATAGAACTTGTCCTCTTCCCTTGGAAGACATGGGCAGTGATAAGGTAATTAGTCACCACAGAGCACTAGTGACTTATCTACTCATATCAATACTTAATCCCATTTCCACTGACTCATTTAACGGGAAAAAGGTCATGTATAAAGAAAGAGGGAGAGAGTGGAGGAAAGAAAGGAGTGGGTGGGATAGTGTATTTATTATTACCGTGTATTTTTTCCCAACATTTTATTCTGAAGATTTCCAAAAGTATAGAAAAGTTGGAGGAATTATACAGTGAACACCCATATACTCACTACTTAGATTCTACAATTAACATTTTGCTATAATTGCTTTATTGCATCTCTCAATCCATCTAAGGGTAGCCTTCTATGAATTTTGACAAAGGTTTTCACTTGTGTGACCCAAACCTAACCAGATATAAAATATAGCCTTCATCACAGAAAGTTCCTTCTTGCCCTTTCCCAGTAACTCCTACCTCACTGCCAGAGGCAACCACTGTCCTAATTTCTTTTCTTTTTGCTATAGATTAATTTTGCCTATTTTAGAATTTTGTATTAATAAACTCATATGGTGTGAGCTCTTTTGCACATATGGCTTCTTTCACTTGACATAGTATTTTTGAAATTCATTCATTTATTTTTTAAACCAAACTAATCTCTGTCAGTCTTCAGAGATTCTCAGGCCAACATCTTCTTTTAAAAGTGGCAGGAAAAATAAACTTTTTTTTTTTTAAAGAGAGAAAGAGTGGAAAAGAAGCCTAGTGACAGGTACTTTGGCCTCTTAATTTTCCTGATAAAGAAACTGAGGACCAGTCATTGCTCAGGGTCCTGCAGACTGGGCTGAAACTGGTCTCCTGACTAGAGGCTTGGAAGGTTTAGAAAGGCAGCTGAGTGGGGTGGTTGTTTGAGCTGAAGCCATGTGAGACCAGAGAGTTTCGACAGAGCTTTGCTTTAGAGGATGTGAAACTACACTAACCTCATGTGACAAGAAATCCTTGGAGGCCTTGATGCGGAGCCAGGGAAGGAGGTTTGACACAGCTTCTGGTTACAGCTCCACCTCTGAACCCACTGGCCCAGGGTGACTTATGGTGAGCTTTCTGATTTGCAATGAAACTAGACATGAGGCAGGGAAAACTTTTCTACAGCAACGCACAAGGCAGAGCAATGCAAAAGGGGAAAAAAAAAAGCCAAGAAAGGCACCTTCAGCCACATGGCCCTCCCATGGCAGGGGACCTGGAGCCGAAAATAAAATAAAACACCCAGGGAGTGGGGGATGCTTTGGTTACAGAGAAAGCCTTTGTCTCCTGAGTGCACGTTCCAATTCAGCCCTGGATGACAATGACCTGGTGGTTCCTGCCTGCCAGCTGTTGGCTGGCCTTTGTGAAAGAAAGTCCCCGATCTCTGGGCCAATGCTTAGCGGGCAGGTATCCATATCATGAAGCCAGTTGGCACTGCTGGCACCTTTGTTGATAGAGTGAGCACAGTGACTGGAACTGAGGCTGCTGGTCCATTCTTGCTACCAGCTGGCAGGTGCAAACCCACGGGCAGGTGCTCTGGGGAGACAGGGTTTGTGTTGCCATGGTAACCAATCCAAAAAAAGAGGTTTCTTCTTCAAGGTCAGTTTGACCTCTTTTCTGCCAGAGGAAATTGAGGAAGAAATGAATTCACAGCAGCTCTGACTCGTAAATGCATGCCTCATCTGCTTTGAATTGTTACTTTTAATTGGATCTAATATTAGTGTCACCCAGTGGGCAAATCTAGGAGTTGGTGGGTCTCTTGGGGAATGTCTTTGTGGACAAAGATCAGGTCACCAGAAAAGTCCCTGAAGAGACGTTCCGGTGTCAACCAAGCAGAGCTGAACAAAGAATTCCAAAGGTGCTTTTGAAAAGGCAGACAGTCAGGTTGGACGGGTTCTTTGGGCTATTCCGGGATATGAGATTAATGCTGACTGTTTGAGGTGTGTCACCCTAGATGTCCTTTGGCCATACTGTCCTGGGCACAGGGGTGAAGGGACCCTTGTCAGCTTGCTGGGTGCCTTGCAAATTTGCCACAATGAACTCATTGTAAAGAAGCAAGCTTTCCTTATTATCACTGTCCTTTCTCTGTAAACCTTCCACTCATGCCTTTACCTTGGGCAAATAAATTTTCTGGCTTTTATTTAAAAGTTCAACTTCTTGATATAAATATTTCTGCATCTCACTCTGATGTAAGGATGTTCCAAATCAGGTCATTGGGTTGTGTATCGGTAATTTTCCCACTTAGATTCTCATGTGTATTCACATAATGAGCCCTCTTTTTCATGCCTGAGATTTCTTTTGGGAGAAATAATAGCATTGTATTAATTAATTGATAGTATTGTATTCTTGCAAGACTTCTTGGACCCCTGGGAGAATTTTACTTTATTCTGTCCACTGGGATGCTATCAGAATTATTTAGATAGAATAGCATCCCAACAGTGGGAAATATTAATTATGGTGGATAAACCCTGAACAACTTGCCTGCAAGTATAACCATGGAAATAGGCCTCAGTTTCCCAATGTGTAAAATGAAAAGATTAGTTTAAATGATCTCTTTAAGTCCTTGCCAGCTAGTTTTCTAAGACATTGAATTTTACCATGAAAAAGAAAATCTCTAAATATATTCAACAATTAACAGACTGAACTTACAAAACTCTGCACTTGATCCTTGTATTCAGTAAATATTTATAATTCATCTACTAAACCTGGGCACTGGTGATATGGAGGCAAAAAAGGCATCATTTTCTATCCCAAAGGATATCACAGCCCAATGAAGGAGATGTAACTAGAAAAAAGAATACTCTCAAAATTGGCAGGAGTTTGAAGGCAAAATTCTGCTTGGGAAGAGAAACTATCTTTTGGCTTGGAAGAGCACCTTCACGGGCATGTTTAATGTAGAAACTTGAGTCCCTTTCCCCACTCCCCCTCAACCAGCAGAGCCAGGACTAAGGGGATTTGAGTAAGACACTTGCCTTGGGTGCAAAAATAAAGGGATGCCAAGAATTAGTATTTTAAAAATCAAAATTAATGAAAAAAACTCATGATGAACAAAGGATGACATATTTTAAATAAAGAGGGGATCTGATCCTGCATGTGTATGACCTTGTCTCACTTTCCTTACCCTAAACTTGGCCCTGGTTTCAATGAAACTTTATTTATAAAATTTGCCAACTTGGTTTTTTAAAACAATCGCATTAAAATATTAAAATACCTAAAGCTTTATACAAAGAAGAATATAACAGAATTTAGGGTTTTAGACGATTGTCATTAGAGGGAGAAGAGAAGGCCCTTGAAGGATTGGGATTTCTGGATGGCAGTGTTGAGCACAATCAAGAAAATCTTCAGAGTGGAGACTGGTTAATGAATATTTATGAAGGAGGCACCTAATAAGGGTTTGGAAGTTGTTGCTTCCTTTGTGCTGCAGTTTACCCCCTTACCCCAACTCTTCAGTTAGAAGTCTGACACATACAATAACTCTCAGATCACGATGATTTAAGGAAAAGGAAGGAAGAAGGGTGGTGTCTAGCCTGGGAGGAAGTAGGCTGGTGAGGGAGGAGGAAAGATGTGGAAACCAGGCAGGATGTAGGCAGGACTGCCTCAGGAGAGGCCTTATCCTTGAAACGCTTTGGAGAGAAGGTGGGCGGCCATAGGTGGGTGGGTCTGGACTTTCTAAAGTGCAAGGGATGCAGTCTTGAGCTCTAGTGTTTAGTAATACTAAAGGAAAGAGACCCTTCAGCAGCAGACACTTGGCAGCGTATAAATCAATAATGACAGTATGTTGTGCTGGATCTTGGTTTGCCCTTCAGGCCCACTTACTGCCCTTCTGCTTTCCACCCTTGGAGGCTGCCCTGGAAGGACCACATTGCAGGGCTCCCTATGCCCTGGCTTCTGGCTGGATTTGGCCCTCAATGAGCACCATCGGATAACTGGAAGGAGGGAGGAGTGGGGGTGTCCACTGGCTCCTTTCCAGAGGGTTTGGTGCAGGCTGGCTTCGTCTTTTTACTGAAGGCTGTAGCTCCTGCCAAGCATCCCTCTCATTCTCCATCTAGGCTCTGGGCACTGTCTCTTCCTTTTAGGGGTAGTGACAGAGCCCCCTCTTATTTGCCCTGGGATATATACTATCTTTTGTGATCTCCTTGCACCCTGCTTCTTTGTAGAGATTCTATGAAACTCTTTGCAAGATGAAGATGCAGTTTGTCTCTCGCTGAGACCCTGACGCAGGTATGAGAAGGACTAGAAAAGACTGGAGGTGGAGGAAGCAATTGACTGCCTAGTGGGAAAGGAACATGGGAGGACACAGACCGCTCCATGTGTGAGGTTTGAGCTGAATCTTGTGGCATGAGACATTTCCCTGGAACTAAGGTAAGCCCCAGCCTGAAAAAAGACTTGCATCTTCCAGGCAGGTGTCCACCTAAGTAAATCTCAATGATCTGCATGGTTGTAAAAGACAGTAATTATTCAGTGGGCTCAAAAATGCACAAGAAAGCTCAAACAATAAAGTAGCCATCACCCCTACTCCTCTAATCCCTGCTGATGGTCTGGCACACTTTCCTCCAGATTTTTTATGGAGTCAAAGTCATACTTTATGTACAGCTTTGGATCCTGATTTCCTCCAACATTACATAATGAGCAATTTTCCCATCACTGAAAGAAGCTGCAAATATCCCCTTGGAGGCCACACCTTTTATAGGTAGCAGAATACCCTTAAAGCACTGAATGCTATTGCTTTCTATAGATGTACTATGACTTTTTAAAATACTCTTGTAATTTTGCACATTTAAGTCATTAAAAAATTTATTTTGCTTACTAAAATTTTTAAATTAAAAAAAAAAAAAGAACCCTGACTTCAGACATACCTGCATTTTAGGGATTGCTGAGTTATGGCAAATTTTGTTTGTTTGTTTGTTAATGTTAAAGAAGATTGCATTTTCCATGGGTAGGTAAGGAAGAGAGGAATTGGTACCAGGGACTCCATTCTGAGGGTAGGCTCACTAGCTTGACCAGAAAGGGACCCTTATGGAAGAAATTAGCGACAGTGATGCTGAATTAAATTTTGTGTTGTTCCATGACTCCTTTCCAAAATTTCCAAACCTTCAGTGTAAGTCTTAGGCAGCATGGCCTGATGTTGGCAGTGTCCTGTGGCACGAAGGGGCAAGAACAGCCTACATGCGAAGGAAGGAGGGCCATGAGGATGAGGGGCAGGGTGGATGAGGAGGAGTTGGGCACAGGGGTGGGGAGGGACAGTCTGGCACACAGCCAGGAGTAGCATGCTACAGCTGAGCCTCTGGAATGTTGAGATGGGCACCAGACTTTCTGCAGTTCCAATAATTATATTCAGATACTAAGGGAAAGGGTGACCCAGGTTATGTATCATTCCAACAGGAAATATTAAGGGAAAACAGATGAGGGGATGGAGGAGGAGATGTTATGAGGGAAGGATTTGGTGACTTACTGTGTGGGCAGGTGATGGGCATTAGACCAGGAGGAGGGAAGTAATGCTGTATAGGAAAAGTTACTGCAAAATGATTGAGAGGAGTACATGAGAATTTGATCAGGGTTTTTGGAAAGAGAAAGAAGCTAATTCCTTCTAGTAGTCTTCTTTTATAAGGCAGAGACATGGCAAGGTGAGCTATGATCCAACTTATTTGTAATAGGATCGTATAGGGAAGGAATTAATAATGTTGTGATGGGCCTTAACTTCAGAAATAATAGAGTTATTTGGCTTTCCTTCTTGTTATTCATCCCATGATTAAACTAGTTCAAAATCTGAACTTAGTTGTGACTTCTTTTAGTGACTTTTTTTTTTTTTTTTACCATTAGAAACCCTAAATAAGTGACTTATTTATTCTCATGTTATTCAAACCATTTTTCAGCTCTCACTCAACCTCTGTTAGAAAAGAAACTGGGAAATGGCTTAGGAAAAACATCTGATTGAGATGTGCTTGCAGTTTTCACATGACTTTGCCAAAAGGGGTTTCTGTATTCAAACTGGGAGGCTTCTACCTTGGGAGTTGTCTTCATTTAAAATTCATATCTGCTTTGCAAGAACTTGAATATAGAATTCAAGGTAGTTTCTGGAAATAACTTACAGAATAGTTCTATTTTTCTTGGGAAATAAAAACATTTCCCCAAACCTCTTTGAGCAGGATTTAGAGAACCCTAGGAAAATGTAAAGGTAAGGTTTTTTTTGTTTTGTTTTGTTTTTTTGAGACAGAGTCTCGCTTTGTTGCTCAGGCTAGAGTGAGTGCCATGGCGTCAGCCTAGCTCACAGCAACCTCAAACTCCTGGCTCAAGCAATCCTCCTGCCTCAGCCTCCCAAGTAGCTGGGACTATAGGCATTCGCCACCATGCCCGGCTAATTTTTTGTATATATATTAGTTGGCCAATTAATTTCTTTCTATTTATAGTAGAGACGGGGTCTCGCTCTTGCTCAGGCTGGTTTCGAACTCCTGACCTCGAGCAATCCGCTCGCCTCGGCCTCCCAGAGAGCTAGGATTATAGGCGTGAGCCACCGCGCCCGGCCAAATCTAAGGTTTTGATACAGCTTTTATTGTCATATCGATTTGATAGGTTTCGATTTGGGAATGTTTATTAGAAAGGAACACATAGGATTTTGGCAAGAAGGTTGTTTTAATAAAAGAGTCTTCTTTAACAGTCAGAGGCCTGTTACCAAATGCGCAAGGTAGGTTAAAAGGCTGTTGTTTCTGTACCCGTAGAATCTTATATGTACATAGTATGAAAAACAACACTGAACACCCCTGTCAAATATTAACTTAAGGAAAACATAAAAATGCTTTCTTATGTCCAACAGTAAGGTAAAGTGACTTTGGATTGGGAAGCAGGATGGAACTCTCTGGTGTCTGACATCTGTTTTTTTTCTTATTGACGTGGTTTTGAACATGACATTGTGGTATCTCTGACACTGGGTCTCAGATATCTGAACTTCTCATATTTTCCTTCACTTTTATCAATAATTTGAATGCAACTATAGAAGACATATTTGGGTGTTTATAGATTACATAAATTTGGGAAGTTTTATTAACTGAATCAATATTCCTAAAAGAGCTCCACATATTAGATTGATGGACTGAAGCTAAGGGGATAAAGTTAAGTAAGAGTCAAATATTAGATCTTAGGTTAAAAATTGACTGGAGCTGACTGGTGTAAGGGAAGTTCATGTGAGAAGTCTCATGAGTCTTATCACCGAGGAAGTTCAGCGGAGTCCAGAGCCACATGATAAGCATCAAGTCTTAGAGGGCATTCCTGGGAGTAGAATCCTCCAGTCAAAGGTGGCAACAGTTCTATATATTTTAACCCTAGTTGAGCCTCAGCTGAGTTCTGTATCTTTAAAAGGACCCAAGGCAAAACAGTTTGTCTGGAGATAGTTACCTAGGTGGTAAAAATGAGGCAACTGTATCATGTATGGAGCTGTTACAGGCATCACAGGAACCATGATTCAGCCCCAAATGGACAGGCCAGGAGGAGACAAGAATGATTCTGTATGGAAACATTTATCTGAAGGGTTGAAGGTTTCATGGATTTAGAGTGTATAGCACTAGGGCAAGACCAGGATCAATGTCTGCACATTTGAGGGAAACTGTATGGGGGTTGATGCAAGAAAGAATTCTCCAATAAATAAGATTTGTTTGAAAGTAGAATGGAATGACATAGGAGGAAAAGAGTCCCCTCATCCTGAAGAATGAGGCCAGATCCCAACATTCTGGCCAGGAGGCTGTGGAGGCAACAGAGGGTGAAGTTGTACCAGACTCCCCCGCAGATTCTGTTCATCGCAAAGGAGTCACACTTGCCTCTGAGCCATCTCCTCTCCTCTTTATCCCAGCTGCTACTCAGGACAGGATTGACTGCATAGCACCCTGATGTTAATCACTTATAAGGACTGATGTCTGGAGCCCAGGGGTGTTGATACTTCAGCAGATTTCCACCAAATAGACATTCTCCTATTCATGCAGACTGTGCTTGCTTTAACCTACAAACAGAATATCACAAGAATGGGATTTTCAAGTGCAATAACAAGCTACTGGAGGAACAGATATGGGTAGGAGGTCAACTTGCATCTCTAAGTGAAAACATGTAAGCAAGTATTTATATTCTGTAGAAGTAGAAAGTCAGGGAGGATTTGGCTTCACCCATCTGTTCTGAATAGTTCACTGGTCTGTTGCCCCAGAGCAATGGCAGTTGTTGCCTACAGGCCCAGCAGAAATAGCATGCATTACTGTCTGCTGTTTCTTTGTGTTGTTGTGGGAATAAAAGATTAATAAGAACAGTAGCTGGGATGCTGGTGTTTGATGAGAATTTTTTTAGCCATCACTTTCCACTCTAGGTCACTTTATCTTGGAAAAGAAAGTAGGAAATGAAGGCAGAATATTTGGATGTGGCTGCAGTCAGAAACTCTCAGCTCTGGAGGAAGAAGATTATTCCTCTTTTCTCTTCTCTCTCTCCGCCAGCAGGGAGGGTAGAACAGGAGGGCATCCAAGCTGCAGGAAGGCAAGATACCAAATATTTTGGGGGTAAAGAGTTGCTACCCTAGGAGATGGGAGGAAGGCCTGGGAGGAAGGAAAAAAACTGAGGCGTATTTTTCTCTCTCATCTAGGAGGCCCCTGGGGATCCCTTTCTGAATCCAGCATCCTCCGGTCCATGTCTTTGCAGGGATGTGCAGGGGCCCTGTGAAGTTCCTGAGGAATCCTGCAGCTGTTGGGGTCTTGGAGGAGATGGCCAGCGTGTCTCCCAGTCCTTGTTAGTACCACAAATAACCCATTGAGGGGAGCAGGAGAAGGGAGAGCTTCCAGAGCTGCCCCTGGGGGCTCTCAATGGGGGCACTGTTTAGGCTTGGGCGGAGGCCAGCCCTGACACCATGCTGGTTGTCAAGGCCTCATTCTTCCCAAGGAGGCGGCTGGAAAGGCAGCAGAGCAGCTGAGGCTCCAGAAAAGGTACTTCTCTTGTTCCTTACAAGGCCCAACTGACAAATGAGAGGAAGCCACTTCCTTTTTAATTATCTTCTGTTGTTCATTACATTTACATCCCAAGCGTTTTCCCCCTTCCCAGTCACTCTCGTTTTACTACTCAAGACCCGAAACTGATGGGTTTTTCCTTTCTCTCCCCAATCTCCACTGAAACTTCGAAATGATGTCAAAATTTTCTGCTTTGTACCCATGTCATTGGGCAGCCCATCAAAGAAGCACCCTGAGAATGGCTGCAGTTTTGCTGTTGCTCTTGAGTAGTTCAAAGACTCTTTCAAAAGGAAAAATGATGCTTTCGAGATAGCAAAATACTAGATAACCACTGCAGGAAACCTCTGTTGTTTTTCCTATCCATCATCCATACTCTTCTTTCTGGTAACACCACCTTGATTTTCCTCTGAGGGCCGCCTCCTTCCACACTCAGCCCATGGGCTTTGGTGGGGTTGGTCCACCCCATGGAGGCCCCCTGGCTTCAGGGCTGGACACAGTCCCTGTCAATAGACACCTGTATCTCCTATTCTTCTGGCCTTGGGTGAAGGGTAGACTGGGCCAAGTCAGAGTCAATCCTGAAAGATTTTGCTGGAAGCATTGAGAAAGAGACTCTATTTCTACTGAAATTGATGGATGAATACAGTATATGTTGGGAAAAGTAAAATAAAAAATAATCACTGTTGCTACCATATTGGGAGAGTCAGCAGGAGGATAGAGGCTACGGAGGAAAACTAAGCCAGAGTGAAAGCCTGCTGGCATAGGCTGTAGACTGGACCCAGATATGCCTGAAAGCAGCACCCTGACCCTTCGGTTATGCTGTTGCTGTATTCCTTTTTCTTCCTTTATCTCATCTGAGCATCCTTTCTGTTAGTTGCAATTGAAACTACCTTGTATCTTTGAGTCATACAAAGATATTAAACTTTTTTTCATTTTCTACTACCTGCTCAGGCTACCTTTATTCAATTATTTGCCAGTGTCTTGCTCCAAACAGTGCCAGAGCTAAGATGCACTAACACTGTCAGTGCATCTTACTGCACTGTAAGATTTCAGCCTTACAGCCTCGATGAAGCAGGACTTCATTTCAGCCTTGATGAAGCAGGACTCATCCACTTGGTTCCTCTCTGACTGGATGGAGCAACATGCTCTGCTAGGATCCCTACCTGCATCGTGTGTCTGCAATAAGAGGCTCAGCCTTGCTCACTCAGACAGGGAGCATCTATTCTGTGTCAACTGCGTGCCATGGAATGGCCCTACGCATCTCACAGTCAAACAGAGAGACACTGGTGTGAGAGCAAAGAAGTAGGCAGGCTCTGTGATGAGAGTCTACCTCTGCTTCCACAGGGCAGGGTGTGTGTGTGTGTGTGTGTGTGTGTGTGTGTGTGTGTGTGTGTCTCCATGGAAGGAGAGGCCAGTAATTGGCAGGAAGAAGAAAGGCCTCACAGAGTAGGTGATGCTTGAGCTGTATCTTCAAAGATGAGTAGAGGCTTTTCAGCTGAGAATAGTATGGGAAGGATGGACCAGTCCAGCCTAGGACAGAAATGTCAGTTGTGGACAACTGTCAAGTATAAAAATCTGTCAATTGTAGGATAGAGAAGCAGTTTAGCATCATGTATTTAGCATATGTCTGATTAGTGTGTTATACAATACAGAACACAGAAATCTGTGGCCACACCTGTCCCTTCCTCCTTCCTCCGTTTCTAAAACTCAGAAAACGTGTATAAAGTTCCCTTGCTGGTAAGCAAGGCTATATAGATGGTACAGTCAATTGGGTAGGTGGACCAGCATTCTATGTCCAGCCACCAGCCTGTGGGTACCAGTCCATTGTGGAAGCCATAGCAGTATCAGTGGCACCAGCATCTTCCCTACTTCTGTATCAAAGTTAGAACTGTCTGCCCTTGAAATGAATTATCCATTGGTGGCCCCCTGACTTCCTGTTCAGCCCTTCCCAGTAATTTTGCAAACACTCTGTCCCCACACCAAATCCTTTTCGGTTTGAAATGCCTAGAGTGGGTTCTGTTGTCCATATGAACCTTGATGAATATAGTGTATTAATTGTATATTTAAAACAATTTTTGTATTTTATGTTTTGACATCTTAAAATTTTTGCTGTTCAGAGAGGACTGACCCTCCCATTCTTAGAGATAGCAAAGGGCTCGCCTTTCGTATGCAGACCAACCAACAGAACAATGGTATTGTCTATCCCCCCAATAGTCCCCTTGAACTCATACACCAAGTCAGTGTTCCCCCACCCTAAATCATCCCAGGGCCAGATATCAGGCAAGGAGAGGCTGCCCCTAGAGCCCAAAACCTGCCGGAATTATCTGAACCAGTCGGTCCCAAACTGTTCGCTCTGCCCTGCTCTACTTTTCCTGCAGAAACCCCAGGAAAGGCTCTAGCCGAGGCTCTCCCCTCCTCGCTCCTGCTCCTGCCTCCCCACCTACCTAGTGTTCCCTGGTGGCCCCACGTGGTGTGGGGTGCCTCCCTCTCTCAGGAAATATAAGTAATAAAAGTCTTCTTTCAATGGCATTAGCCTCTCCTTGTCATCACTTGGTCACCTCCATAAATTAAAACGCCATGGGTATGGTCAGTGAGACATGCAGTCCCCACTGTGAGCTCTGTGAGGGTCGAGACCTTGCTTATTTTGTCCTCCATTGTGTCCCCAGTACCAAGCCTAAGCCCAAACGGCAGCAGTAGTTTCTCAGGAAACAGTTTTCGAGTAAGTACATGAAAAGTTGTAATATGGACATGTATGTACATAGGGGGGTGTGTGTGTGTGTGTGTGTGTGTGTGTGTGTGTGTGTGTATACACAGTTTAAAAACTTCAAAAGATGCCATAAGGCTGCATGTATCAAGAGCCACTTTACTGACAACAAGTGTGATGTTGTCATAGACTAGTGGTTACTGTGGGCTAGACTTGAAGGAGAAGTCTTGGAAATGAACTGGACTCTGATGGATAATGAGAAACTGGATAGGAAGAAAAAGGGGGGGTGGGACAGTGTAGGTGTCAGTCCTCAGTGCTGCTGTCACTGCACACTGATGAGTAATGCGTACTCACTCCTGAAATGAGGACTAAGTTCCCTTTGAAATGCATGTGGGCTTAAGAGTGCAGGGAAAAGGTCTTGGCATGATGTTCTTGTTTTGCCAAACCCTAATGTTGTGTTTGGAGCCCTCCTTGGCCCCCAGACCATGAGAATTCCCCTGTCCCCATCCCATACCCACATCAAGCATATTTCTAAGTCTTCTGGGAAGCCACACAGTCAGCAGTCAGAGCTCTGATCCTGCTTCAGAACAAGCAAGGCAAGATCTGAGTTCAATTAGCAGAAATTTCCATGGGGAGCATTTGTTCGGAAAGTTGGCCGACAGCTTCTGGTCCTCCTGAACGCCAGGAGTGGGTGAAAGTTTCAGTGGACAGAGCTCTCTTCATTGTACAGGGATTGCAAGAGACATGATGTGACCGAGGACATCTTTACCTGCCAGTCTCGAATAGATCAGTGTGACCAGGAGGCCACAAGGCTGATGATCTCTCCTTCACATGGGAACCAACCCAGCCAAAGCCAGTTTCCCATTTCTTTTTATCAGCTTAGCTGATAAAAAGAAAGTATTGGTGGCTCTTGAAAATTGAATATAAGGAACTCTTGGAATTGCGTTAAATAAATGAACAAGATTTTACCACAATTTATAGCTCTGACATCAGAGTGACTAGAGATCATCAAATTAATCAACTAGAGAAGGAGCCTTGTTAGGTAAATGTAAGAAAGACAGCAAATGTCTGCAGAACTTTTGCAAGGCTGCAAAATCTGTTCTCACACCACATTCAGGGTTTAACAAGAGAGGGTGGGTGGTTGAGGCAAAAGCTCTGTGACTTCTGAATATCTTGTAAGAAGTGACCTGTCTACGCCTAAGAGAGCAGCGTTCCCCCAAGAGCTGGGCTGTTACTCTGCACCCTCAGACTTCACTGGATTCATGTGGGTCCTCTTTCTTTAAACAAAGTCAAGTCTGGTCACTGGGTGGTTTAAAATTAGGAGATTCCTAATTCTAGGAAAGGAATATGGAATGCACAGCTGTTGTATTTGATGTGCTCGGAGACCTTACTAGTTTGATGTCTAACCTAACCCTCCACTCTTTTGAGTGATTGACATAAATTTCTTAATCTCTCTGACCTTCAGTTTTCTCCTCTGTACAGTTCTGAAGGACTTATGGTGAGGGTTAAATGAGAAAATGCAGGTATATTGTTTAGCCCAGAGCCTGCCACAGAGTAGACCTTCAATAAGCATTAACCACACTTACTCTTATTACATATACAAGGGCATCAGTTCAAAGAGTTGTGGACAGTGGATTGCTGAGCCATGTTGGACTAGAGGCCATAAATCTTGAGACATTTCCTAGTCTCTGCCTTTGGCTTGTTGTGTAACTTTAGGCACTTGCATAAGTCTGGAAGTGGAGAGAGATAGGACTTGTCACTAAGTCAAATGGTAAGGGCTTGGAGGGGATGTGGTGACCGGAGCTCACAAGGTTTACGTAGGTGGTTTACCTGGATGAAAAGCCAATCAGTCTGAGGCTGCATAGGTCTTTAGTATCCATAATGAGGCAGGTGGTGGTTGAACTTACCTAAGAGTGCTAGATTTTGAGAAGAATAGCAAGAAACTAGAGGATGTTACAGGATAATGGGAGTTCTCTGGGCCACAGCTTCTGAGCTCCAGGAAAGGTAATAGAAAGATAGATTTGGGGTAGTGGGGCAGAGGATAACTGATTCAAACTTCCAGTAATTTGAGAGTTATTCTAGGGCAAAATCCAAGACCACTGGTTAGAAGTTATGAAGAGGCATTTTTGGCTCTATTGCTGGGTGTGATGGAGGTGGTAGAACCTTCTGGAAATTAGCTGTGGAATGGCCTACCTTGCAACGCAGAATCTCTAGAGCTTGATCAAGCTGTCTGGGCGGGTTCCCAGGGATGCTGAGGAGGGTTCCTGCACAGGAACAACTGAAAGGGACTCAGCACAGCCTTGTGGGTAGAAGTGATGGCCACGGAAGATTTTCCTGAGGAAAAAGTCCCTAAGAAAGAGTGGATGTTAGGCAGACAAGGGTGGGGGAGTAGGCAGGGAGGAGAGGCATAGGGAAGGAGAGAGCACGAAGGGTGCTGGGACAATGAGTAGTTTGCCAGGGCGCAGGCCCAGGGGAGGTGGGGAGTGAATGGAGAGGAAAGTAGAGAATGCTTTAAGAGCTTTTTGTTAGGAGATAGGACTTTATTCTGAGTGGTATAAGGAGCCATAGAAGGGTTTTAAGCAAGGGAGTAACATGCAGATGGTGTTATAGAAAGGTCACTCTCACTGCATCCAGGGTCTCTGTAACGGAAGAAGAGAATCACCTTTCCTGATGCCCACTGTGAACTGGGCTCTGCAGGTAAGTGACAGCATCCCACACACACAGCCACCTTCTGGTTGCGTAATCATCTCTATTTTACAGATGGGGAAATTAAGGACCAGAGCAGTTAAGTGTCTTTGTCAACATTGCCTCGTTATTAAGTGACCAAGGAAGATTCAAAACCAAATGCGTCTGATTCAAAAATCTGTGCTTTGTTTTACTTGAATGAAAACAAAGCAAAACAAATAACCCTTTTGAAAGTATACCCAAATCTTAAATCTTCAGAGGAATTTTACCTGTCCATTCTGCAAGACTGAGCTCACACCCAAGCATGCCTAGCCATGGACCATCCCCCCTTTCATGTCACCTACTACTGCTGTAAGACCCTCTTCCTCCTGGTTGAGATTGTTAGACAAGGGCCCATTCGACACATCTTCCCAGGAATTGGGAGTTGGGGTTCTGAGGCAGCCAGTTTGTCTTTCTATGCAGCCAGACACTTGGGTGCTAAGGGGCAGCTACATCCGCTGCACGAGTAGAGAAGCAGAGAAGGCAGCCGCAGAGAGAGAAGAATGCAGCA